CAAACTTGTTGTGGTGTTGCATGAGGGATTTTAATGAGGTTTTGCAGGCCGAGGAGCAGGAAGATGGTGATTTACGAAGTGAACGACAAATAGACGGTTTTCGAAATGCGCTCACATGTTGCCAACTACAAGATTTGGGGTTTGTAGGTAATAAGTTCACTTGGGTTACGACTAGGAGTGGTGGAATTAAAGTTTGTTTGGATAGAGTCTTAGCAACGTAAAGTTGGATTTATTTGTTTCCACATTTCAATGTCACCCATTTAAAGCCTACCTCGTTAGATCATATAACAATTTTGTTGGACTGGATTCAAAAGAGAAGTTAAATTTAAAAGGACCTTTCGATATAAGGAAGAGTGGTTTGTTAAGGATGGATGTGGGGCTGCAATACAACAAGGGTGGGCGTCGGATTTTCAGGCCTCACCTATGTTCAAAGTCATGGAGAAGATTAAGGCAACATGAATCCAGTTGACTAACTGGGCAAAAACCATGGAATGTTCAATTCCTGGGGAAATTTCAGAAACGGAAGACAAGTTGAACTCTTTATTTGGACAACCTTTTGCCGAGACAACTATTGCCCAAATGCATGAGTTATTTACCTAGCTGCATTCGTTACTTGCACAAGAAGAAGTTTTTGGCATCAGAGGTCTAAGAAAAATTGGCTATGGCTTGGTGATCAAAATACGAAGTTCTTTCACCAGAAAGCAAATCGACGACAAAGGAGAAACGAATTGCATGGGTTATTTGATGAGGCCGAGAATTGACATGAGGATAAAATGGGTATGGAGGCTATTATTATGGAGTATTTCACAAAACTATTTGACTTCAGGGTGCGACAGATCCGTGGAAATTTTAAGGGTTGTGGCTCCTAAGGTATGATCATAAAATAACCAAGGCTCCAGGACTTGACAATATGTCACCTGGTTTCTATCAGAAACATTGGGAGTTTGTGGGACAAGATGTTTGTGATAGGGTTAGGTTTATCTTTTCATTTGTGCATATGCTTCGGAAAATTAACTATACACATGTTACTTTAATTCCTAAGAAACTTGATCATACCTTAATGACTCAACTTTGGCTGATTAGTCATTTACAAGATATTTTTTTTTTCCAAAGTTCTTACTAATAAGATAAAGGTCATCTTGCTGGATATTGTATCATCCTCTCAAAGTGCATTTATTCATTGACGGTTAATTTCAGATAATTGTTTGGTAGCTTCGGAGATTGCACACTATCTGCATAGAAAGAACAATGGGTGGAATGGGGTAATGGCATTGAAGTTGGATATAAGTAAGGCTTATGTTCATATTGAATGAAGTTTTCTGGAGCAAATGATGATGAGGTTGGGATTTGCAGAGGAATGAATAAACTGGATAATGATGTGTGTTACTACAGTTTCTTATTCGTTCAAACTAAATGGGGAGCCTGTGGGTCTTGTACAACCTAAACGTGGAATTCGTCAGGGAGACCCATTGTCACCGTTCTTGCTTGTTCTGTGTGCCGAGGGTTTATTTGCACTGTTTAATATGTGGGAAGCACAAGGCCGAATTCAAGGTGTCCAGGAGTGTGTACAGTTGAAAGAGCTGCTAAAAACTTACGAACGGGTGTTTGGGCAAGCTGTTAACCTTTCAAAAAGTAGTGTGGCCTTTAGTAGAAATTTAATGGACATGGATGCACGAGTTTTGTCTAATTGTCTTGGGATGGAATGAGTGGAGTATCATGACCGGTATCTCGGCATACTAGTGTTTGTTGGACAATCTAAGAAAGCTACGTTTGCATATATATATGTATGTATGTATGTATATATATATATAGGACTGTTGATGCGAAAATTAACTTAACACACAAATTTAACCCTCTTTTGACAATTGCAGTACAAGTATAAGTAGGGATCGTTCTGGACCGAGGATTAGGTGGGCTTGCTAATAACCTCTAAACTGACTCAAATACATAAAACTAAACTTAAAAACACTTACAAGACTCACAATACTCAAAGCAAACTTAAAATACTCAAAACAGCTTAAAACAACCAAATAAACTTAAACTAGACACTAGGAATGACTTTGGATGACATCATTCGACAACCCAAAACATTCTTCAAAAGTTCCCTACATGACATCATAATAGAGATACAATAAAAGATCATTACGTTTAATGAAAATCATAAGCATTGACAAAGCACTTGCAACTATGACATAATGTCGCTTATGCTAGGAATTGAACTTAACGCGATCATTTATAAGCGACCTTCACTACTTGTGAATATAAGTTGTAACGATTATGTGAAACTTCCTTATATTCTAGCAACGGATTTATGCATGCCAATTAAGTGTCGACCTTTAATTAACAAATACAAATAAGTTATCAATCAAATAGTAAAGCCAATTGCATTCACGATTCAAGAGTTCATAACTGGAATTTATCAAATTATATTGCACACATAATCATGGCTTTGAAATCACCCCTAGCCAAGAGGGATTTAGCCACTCATAATTACAACAAAATGAAAGGAAATGAATTTAAACATTAGAAACAAAAGAAAGAAAACACCTAAACGCTCTAACGATTCAAGTTGGACAGCAAGCACGTCCAAGCACTTTCCTTCCCTTCCTTTGCTACGGCATAAGGTGTTGGTGAGTGTTTGAAGGTTTGTTTGTATGGAGGAATGGGTGTGAAGATGAATGGATGTGTTTGGATGAAGGTTGTGTTGAAATGGTGGTGAATGCTCTAACAAAAACTCAACTCAATTTATGTTACACACACTTCCTTTTATAGAGGAAGTGCATGGCAATGGAGGGGAACATGGATTGGTGTAGCAATTGAGTGCAATGATGCATGAAATCTGAAATGATGGAGGGAACAAGGAATACTGTAGCAATTGAGTTCTGAAATAATGAAGGGGACAAGGGTGATGATGCACGGCATGGGTGAAAATTGGAGTGATTTATGGTAGAAAATAAGAAATGGATGGCTCCCTTGCACGGCAAGGAAGAGAAATGGTGAAGGATGATATGGCTTGGACTTTTAAGGCAGATTTAGGACTTGTAGAATATGTAATGAAATGTCCCAAAGTATTTAGAAACCCTTTGTGTGACTGAATCTTTGGTAATTTAGATTAGAAAAGGTAAAGACAAGATAAGGCAAGTTTGACTAATCTTTCCTCTTTCTTGATGGTTTCCTTGTCTTCCTTGGTCCTCTATTTATTTTCTTCCTCTCCTTGGCACATTCCTAGCTTCTTTAGATCTTTAATTTCGTCCAACCACTTTGCTCCATGCATGTGCTATCCATTCCAAGCCCAAAACTGCTCCAAAATGCACCTTATTGCATACTTTGTCCTTAGAACCTGAAATTGCACGAAAATGAGTTTAAACACTAAAACAACTAAGGAATAACAATATAAATGCATGAGAACAAGCTAACTCAGTTGCATAAGTATGCTCTTATCAACTGTCTATGGAAGAAGTTGAATGGCTGACGTGGTTCTTTGTTGAGCAGTGTTGGCAAAGAAATTTTGACAAAAATTGTAGCTCAAGCATTTCCATTGTACATGATGCAGACGTTTTTGTTGCCTAAGTCTTTTTGTGAAGAGTTGAACCAAATGGTGGCACAATTTTGGTGGGGAATGGAAGCAAGCAAGCGTCGAATACACTGGATTAAATGGAAAACGCTGTGTAAACTAAAAAGTGAGGGTGGCTTGGGATTTAAGGACTTATATGCTTTTAACCTTGCGTTGCTTGCTAAGTAAGGGTGGAGAGTAATACAACACCCGCAGTCTCTTATTGCTCAAATATTCAAAGCTTGGTACTACCTTACAACATATTTTCTGCAAGCTTCAGTTAGACCAAACTTGTCTTATTGTTGGAGTAGTGTGGCGGGATCCAGAATAATTATTCAGAGAGGTGGTAGGTGGAGGGTTGGAGATGGCCTATGAATACAAATTTGGGGGGACAGTTGGTTGCCAAGGGAGAATTTTTATAAAGTTATTAGCCCCATACCGATGAGGTGTATCCTTCTCTTACTGTGAGATCGTAAGTGGTGAATCATGATGGAGTTTGGTGGAATACGGATTTAATCCATAGTTGGTTTTTGGAGGATGAAGCACACTTGATTTTGAGTATTCAATTAAATTTGTTCAATCTGGATGATACTATGATTTGAACTAAAGAACCCAAGGGCCTGTTTGCAACTAAGAGTGCTTACTTTGCGGCAAGAACGTGTCATGGTATTGGTGGGGATGAGCTCATGGGATTTGTGATAAATGAGGAGACCAAGTTTTTATGGAAAGCTTTGTGGCAAGCTATGGTGCCGGGGAAAGTTAAGATTTATGTATGGCGTTCTGGATGCTTTGCCATCTAAGGTGAATTTGACAAAAAAGATGAGTTCTTATGGAGGATGTTTGTGGGTTATGTGATAAAGAAGCAGAGACAATTAAAAGCAGAGACAATTAAACATGCCTTATTACATTGCTTTAGATCAACTGTTATTTAGTTTGTGAGGATGGCCTATGTGGTTGGTTGGCATATATGGCGCAAGCGTTATCTAAGGACAATGTGATTGGTTGGTATACTCTGGCTGGTTCCTAGCGACCCACTTCCTCTGGGCCTCACCTGTGGCGCCAAGCTCTCCAGGCCCAAGCGAATCGACTTCATACAGCGGCCTCACACTTGCTGACTTCTCAGACTACTGATGTGAATCTCCTTCTCGCGATTCTCCAAGCTGTGAATCTCCTTTTCCAAGCTCCCTTCTGCTTCTTCTTCCTCTGGGTCGTCTCAATCTTGACCTCTCTAGCTTGTTGCAGAGTGGAGTTGACAGAAAACGTAAAGCCGAAGTCGACGAAGAGGATGAGACGATACCAAGCTTGGAGCTTCAGTCATTGGGTCTGGTTCAGTGGGCAAAAAGCTGCAGTTTTTTTGTACGAATGCTACGCTTTTCTTTGAGAAGCTGAATGACAACCCATTAACATATGGGATTTGTAGAAGGTCCACACTGATCTTCCTGAAGCTTTTTTTTTCTCTTCCTTATTCTTCAAGGGATTCGAGTAAAAGTTTTGAACTTTCAAATGGGTTTTCTGAAATCTGAAATGGGTTTTGCTTAAAATTGAAGAGAAATGATTGGAGTGAGAGTGAGAAATGTGGTGGGTTTATAGTTAAGAAAGTAGAGAGAGAGTGAGAGATGAGATGGCTCCGTGGAGATGATGTTCGTCTGTTTAAAAATCCCTCGTCTGAGCAACTATCTCATTGCCTTTGTAGATGGTGCAAGATTTTTGGAAAGGAAAACCCTTCACTTTGAAATCACAGGCTGGATCTGCTGAGTTTTCACCAACAAGAAACACTTCCAACTCAGTTCTGGTAAGCTTATTTTTCGTTCTCTTCACTCTAAATTTCAAGTCTTTCTCCTCACTATCTCCCCCTTTGTATCCTTCCAAGCTTTCATGATCTTTACGGTGCAAAGAAAATAGAGGATTTCCGGAGGCGTCAAGCAGCACGCGCTTGTGAGAAGAAATCTTGGGAGATTGATGGGTGACTTTGTAAACGGTGTCGCCGGAGGAATCGAGGAAACCCAATTCGCCATGTGGAAGGCCGAGATATTTCTTGGAGACAAAGAGATCGACCGGGATTTGTGAGCTCGTGGGATGAACAAGGGCTGAAGCTGGAACGATGTCAGCCATTTTACAGAAGCAATGGATTCATTTGAATTCAATTGAGTTTTTGGGAATTCTGGAAACTGGGTTCAGTTGATTTATTTGGTGTTTGGTTCTTGGGTTTCTGCAGATTCATGGTGGTGAGATGAAAAAAAATGAAAGAGAACCGACATGATTTCTTGTGTCGATTCCCACAAACGGCGCCAAATGTTGATGCATAAAACTAGAGGGGTCTTGGAACAATGTAAATCCGACCATGAATCTGCAAGAAAGTAAATAACACAAGACATATCGTGGTTCACCCCAATGTTTGGGCTACGTCCACACTGATATTGTATTTCTCTGTTTGTGAGAGGATGAGAGGGTGAGAGAGACCTTTCTTATGGCCTAAGAATTGGCCTCCCTTAATGAGGAGAGTGAGGGGTCCTTTTATAGAATAAGGGCTCCTCACTTATTACATATTTGCTCCTTCATTTATTACATAATTACATTTGAGTCTTCTGAGTATTTATACGAGATCTAAATACGGAGGCCCTAAGTATGGTACAAACACTGCTGTTTTATTATGGAGTAAATTGAAGGTGCACAATGAGCTTTTATGGAATGGTGTAGAGGTTTCCCCTTTGGACACCCAACTTAAAGCTCAAACTTGGCTGTCAGAATACAGAAAATGGAATGAGGTCAAAATGCACGACATCACGGAACGAGTTCAGAAATGGCAGAAGCTAGATTTTGGTTGGATAAAATGCAACTTTGATGCTGCTTGGTATAAGATTGGATCGCGTGGAGGTATTGGGATTGTGGTAAGAAACTCAGAGGCCGAGTTCATTGCAGCAATGGTGGTCCGGGAGAATGAGATTCGTTCTGCATTGCATGCCGAGGCTGTTGCTGTGCGTGCAACAATTGTGTTTACACGGCAATGGTCAACTAAACAGGTGCAGGTGGAGGGTGATGCTCTTATGGTGATATCTGAAATCCATAATGAAGGAACAACGCATCATGACCCTTATGAACATCTGTTTGCTGATACGTGGCAAATCCTTCTAAGTTTCAAGCAATGGAAGGTTTCATTTGGTCGAAAAGATACGAATAAGGTGGCTCACCGCCTAGCAAGATTTAGTTTAGGTCTCGATCACCCAGTTTCTTGGTTCGAGGAACCTCCTGATGTAATTTCTGATTTATTATTGAAAGATAGTATTAGTAGTTAAGTTTGGTGCGAGATATTATTTTTCCCTTTTTTCAGGTTGAAAGCCTCGAAAAGATTTTTATTGGGGCCCACTATTAGCATCATATCCTTACTTTCATATGTACTTCTCTATTCAATGAATATCGTACTTCCATTCAAAAAAAAAAAAAAAAACTGAACGGTAAATAATTGTAATTTTCTTGAAGTATGGTGTATAAGATAACAAAACTGCACTACACATTTTCTAGTTCCTAGACAAGGTTTTGCAAGACCGAGTCGGATGGGCCCGAGTCACTCGACGCTAATCCCATGGCACGTTGACTATGGTAAATTTGGATAAGGTCCGTTTATTCACAATTACATTTATTACCCATCCAAATATTGTCAACCATATTAATTTTTACTTTCATTTTTATTTTCCTGAATTTATAAGATAAAAGGGATAGGGGTACTCAATATTTTTGTGATATTCCTTTTCACTTGTAAGTGAAATAAGATAATGAATTCGATACTAAATTAAATTACTTATTATGTGATTTAGCTAAAATCTTACATATTTTCAATATAAATATATCCTTTTACTCGAAAAATAAAATAAAATAAGGACGTGGGGTGGGGGAGGTCGGTCCAAAAGGCACGTGACAAGGGTGGAGGTGGTGTCAGCGATCATGTGAGGACTTTCATAAGGGTTCAACTTCCCCTTCCTATTGTTTAATACAAATCTCTCACCATGCAAAATCGTGCTCCAATTTCCACTTATTTACACCCATACCCGTCTCCTCTCTCCTAAAATGTTAAAACCCCCCCCCCTCCCAACGCCCTCCATTATCTCTCTCACTCATCACTCATCACTCTCACACTATCCAAGCAAACTCTTTCTCTCTCTAGAAATTTTCACTATCAATTCCTTCACAAATGGAACTGCCCGAGTTCTACCTCGGCGGCTACTTCAACGGCGGAGCCACCACGTTATCGCCGGAAAAGAAGCCTACCGGCGGCGATTTCACCGTTGACGACCTCCTCAACTTCTCTAATGAAGACCCCTTCGTCACCACAGCGGACGGCGGCGGCGGTTTCTTTGACCCTGCCGCCCATTCCTCAGCGGTCACCGCCGTTGACAGCTGTAATTCCTCGGTCTCTGGCGGAGAGCCTCAGTTCTCCGGCAACCGGAGCTTTGGCGACTCTCAGATCTCCGGCGACCTCTGCGTTCCGGTAAACCTCCAATTCCATTAATTCGTGAATTCTAATGATATTCATTAATTTTTGGCTTCTGCATGCAATTTGCATGATCCTGACGTTAATTTTATAATGAACTATTTAACAAAATAGTTTATTTCGGGAATTGATAATTAAAATTATTTTTATTTTCAAATTATAATAAATTCATATGTAATTGTTGTCCTGAAATGTAATTCGCAGGACAGGAGGATAATTCTTTATATATTGCATGCAATATATAGAATATACGATGATTACGATCACCACATTACTTTTATGTTTGATTATTATGTAAAATTAATTAATTATTTATTGGCAAATTAATTGCAATTTTTATTAATTTGTATAATTAAAAATTGATTGCAGTACGACGATTTGGCGGAGCTGGAATGGCTGTCGAACTTTGTGGAGGATTCTTTCTCAGCAGACAAGGATTTACAATCTCTCCAGTTCCTCTCCGTAAGCAACACAACCAAACCTCAAACCCCCGAAACGTGTTCATCCTCCGAAACGCCTCAGAACGCACCGCTTTTCCCCTCCGAAACGCCTCTCCCGGGCAAGGCTCGAAGCAAGCGCTCACGCGCCGCCCCCGGAGACTGGTCCACGCGCCTCCTCCACCTCATCACTCCCAACAATGACACCAAACCTCCCACAACAACATTGCATAAGAAGAGAGATGGTGCCACCGGTGGGGGCAATTCGCATTCGGGTTCAGACTCTTCAGGCCGAAAATGCCTCCATTGCGCGGCTGAGAAGACCCCGCAATGGCGAACTGGGCCCATGGGACCTAAAACTCTTTGCAACGCTTGCGGCGTCCGGTACAAGTCAGGTCGGCTTGTGCCCGAGTACCGGCCCGCCGCGAGCCCTACTTTCGTGTCGGCTAGGCACTCCAATTCGCATAGGAAGGTTCTGGAGCTCCGAAGACAGAAGGAGGTTCAGAGATCACATCATCATCAATTTCTGAGTCAAAGTTCCATTTTTGGCGTATCCAACGGTGGTCATGATGAGTACTTGATCCATCATCATAATGTGAACGATTTTCGGCAGATGATGTAGTGGATGCTAGAGTAGGATAATTAAGGTGGACCTCTCTAATTTTAACATGAAATCTCTAGCTTAATTTGCTAATTTTTTGGCTGTTAAAATTTGAATTTGTAGTCAAATGTTTTAAGGGTCATTGGGAAAAAAATTGTAGAATTGAAAAAAAAAAGTAAAAATTGGGGTTGGCTTTGTATTCTACTTTCTTTTTATTGCCGAATTTGGCAAATTTAGAATCAATTTTATCTACATTTTGTTCTTTTGATAAGTTTAATAAAATTAACAAATTTTGTTTATTGAGGAACAAATAAAAGAAGAAGAATGTAACAAAAAATAAATAAAGAAGAAATGTCAATTTACTAATGTAAGTGTGATGTCAAGGACTCGATAATATTTTTTCCTATTTTTTAGACCATATATCAACCATATTATAGCCACAAAGGATCGAGTTATATTTTACTAGTATGAAAATTAAGTGTATATATAGTCTTATTTGAATGTGATGTAGTTAGGACATTAGTCCTTATACATTACGGTTAACTATACTTTGGACAAGTTAGGGACAATGTCAATGTTTATCTTGATCGGATATTAAATACGATAAGTTCACATTATCATCAAATAAATAGTCTGTCACTCCCATGATGAGGAGCTACCAAAAGTTTGTCCAATTTGTATAAATTTCCATGAACATATATAGCATTTCCTAGAACTTACGAAATTTGGAACATATAATTAAAGTGCAACATGCAAACTTGAAAGGAATATAATATATGTGGAGAGAAAGCAAAGTTCATGTACTAGACTTGTGATTGATCAGTGGCACCCTTTTGTGAATATCGAGGGCCCAAATTTCATGGCACATTAGGAGAATATTAAGGCAATACAGCAGGAATCAGCAAGGTAGGAGAGAGAGCATGGAATTCAGTGAGGAATTTATAAGTATTATGTTGATACATCGTCTTGTGTACGTACCATTTTAAATATATTAAAGTGAGTTTTTTTTTGTTAAAAAGTGAATAGTATCAGAATTTTTTTACTAAAGTTTCTTTGAAAAGAACAACTAATGAAAATGATTTGGAAACTTTGAGTTTTAACGAAAATAACAAAATAAAGGGTAAAGTGAATAGTACCAAGATTGATTTTTTAGTGTTAAAATGAACAGTACCAGAAACTTTTAACTAAAGTTCTCTTTTTAAAAAGCTTGGGAAACCAATGCAAAGCAAAGAGAAGAGACGAATGGAGAAAGAAAGAGAGGAGGAGAAAGTGCGTAAAAATTTGAAAAGAAAATTATAGCAATAGTCTCTCAATTTTAACTCAATTGGAGTAATGATTTTTAAAAAAATTCATGATTATTAGTCCATTAACTCATCAAAATGTGCATCTATGGTCATTTTCTTCAATTTTGTTAGAATTTTGTCAAAATGAGTGATGTTGGAATGACTATTGCTACAATTGGGTTAAAGTTGAGAGACCATTACTCTAGTTGGGTTAAAGTTGAGAGACCATTGCTACAATTTTCTCATTTGGTTTTCTATATTTGCCCCTTGATTCAGCCTCGTGTGCATGACACGTGATTCGTTTTTACGGAAATTCTAACAGAGTTGACGAAAAAAACCATAGCCACACGTTTTAATGAGTTAAGGAACCACTGATCGTGTTCCGGAGGGACCAGCCATTGTACTTCTTAGATTTTTAATTGAGAGACCATTACTCCAATTGAGTTAAAGTTGATGGACCATTATTATAATTTCCTCAAATTTAAAGGGGGAATTTGGCATTGGTTGCACAAAGTTGCTAGCAAAAATTAAGAGATTTTTTCATGTATTCAGAGCACAAGTCGGTGAAGCACAATTTGTAAAGCTCACATCATAATATAAGTGAAGGAAGTAAAATTTTCAATGTCTCTTTACTTATATTTATAACACATTATGTACCTATCATCTTGTATTTAGTTCATTGAAAAACTTCTCCAAAAATAATGCGGGAGGGACACATGTGGGGGATCAATAAACAAAGGATTAGGTACACCTGGGGACTGATTTAGCTGTCCACCCGATCCTAGACATTTGCCCTTCCATGAGGTCCCACTGTCTTATTACTTATAATTAGATTAGTTGTTTTAGGGGTTAATTATTTTATTTTTTTCTAGATCATATTTGCATTTGTTGTGTTGAGTTTGTCGAAATTTAACAACTCCATGTGTGACTGTGTGGGACTATGATTTTTCCTCCTTTTGTTCTCTAATTGACTTCACTCTATGATTTTTATTGTAGGAATGATGAACTTCAATTACATTTGGGCAACTAAGGACATGTTTGCTAATTAAGGAGAAAAAGGGAAGAAGGAGAAAGAAAAACTTGATTTTTTTTTATTACAATAGATATTTTACACGAATTTAAACTAAAGGAATGGAAATTGGTTTGAACTTGAACACAATGGGTTGAGGAAGAAAGCCTTAACCACCAAGGCAATCTATCACTTACGGATGTAATTTTCATTTAAACATTTTTTAGTTTTAGTTTATATATGTATGATAAATTTCCTCTCATATCTTTTCTTGATCACTTCTTTCATTGTTCTTATCTTTTTATTTTCTTTCTCATCTCTTTTAATAAACTTAAGGCTTGTTTACTTATTAGCAATACGGAAATAAGAAATCGAATAACTGCGGCACGGGAAAATTAAGAAAAGGAAATTGGATTTAACACCTTCTCCTCTAGTTAATTAAATTCCTAAAATTGGGTTATTTCATTCGGATTTTAG